TGCACAGTAAAAGGTAAATCGGACAAAGTTATATGTGGGAGCTATATCCAAATCTGAACCGATCTCAATGAAATTTAGCAAAGGTATTTCTGAGCTGCATTTGATATATTTCCCCAAATATTGTTGTTACAGAGTGCATATTACGGCTACGGAAGACAAAAATAACAAATCGGATGAACAATATATATGGGAGCTATAGCTATATCTGAACCGATTTCGATCAAATTTGGCATACTTATTTTTGGTTGATTGTGCAAAATTCCATACTATTCGGGCTGATATTACGCGTTTGGTGCACAATAAAAATCAAATCGGACGAAGATATATGTGTGAGCTATTACTAAATTTTGACCGATAATCTCCAATTTCAATAGGGTTCGTCCTTGGGCCAAACAAATGATTTGTGCAAAATTTTATCTGGATAGGGCAATAAATGCGAACTGTACTTTGTTTACAAAAATATATGGACAGACAGACGGACGGACGGACATGCATAAATCGACTCAGAAAGTGATTCTATGCAAATCATAAAAACAAACTATGGGTCTATCTCGTTTCCTTTTGCCTGTTACAAACAAATGCACAAAGACATAATACCCTGACCACCTTGTGGTGTAGGGTATAAATAGTAAGTTCGACCGGGCCGAACTTTGAATACCCTCCACCACTGGAAATTTTCAAAAAAAATAAAATATTTTAAAAATTCTGAAAAAAAATTTAAAAATACCAAATATAGCCGTTACATTGGGGTCTATACGACCCTACCCTGCCTACATAGGTATTGTTTGTCATAAGGCATTACCATATTCAAAATTGAAACTTGAAATAAACGGTGAATAATGTAGCTAAATTCATCAAAATATCGTATATAGGGAGGTACCGTTATATCGGAGCTGTGCGAAAACCTGGACCAGCATAGACAATTTCCTGTCACAGTCTGTAGCATCGATTACGAACTTCAAATACGACATCTAAAATAATTTCGGAGGGTATTGTACGTAAACTCATCAAAATACCGAATATTGGGAGGTACGGTTATATGGGGGCTATACGAAGACCTGGACCTGCATAGGCAATTTTCTGTCATAGGCTGTAGTATCCATTACGAATCTCAAGTACCAAATTTGAAATAATTCCGGTGAATAATGTCGCTAAAATCATCAAAATACCGAATATTGGGAGATACCGTTATATGGGGGCTATACGAAGACGTGGACCTTCACGGACAATTTTCTGTCATAGGCTGTAGTATCCATTACGAACTTCAAATACCAAATTTGAAACAATTCCGGTGAGATATCATTATATGGGGGCTATACAAAGACGTGGACCTGCACAGATAATTTTCTGTCTTAGGCAGTATTATCCATTTCGAAATTCAAATACCAAATTTGAAACAATTCCGGTGATCGGAAAAATCATCAAAATGTCGAATATAGGGAGGTACCGTTATACGGTGCAAAATTTTAGGCTTATATCTTAATTAGTTCGAAAGATGACGTGATTACAACAGGCAGACAGACGGACATCGCTAAATCGACTTAGAATTTAACGCTGATCAAGAATATATATACTTTGTTGGGTCTGACATGAGTATTTCGAGGAATTACAAACGGAGTGACAAAGTTAATAGACCCTCCATAGTATGGTGGAGGGTATAAAAACAATGTAACAACTAAATTTTTCCAGAAAACAATTGCCTAAAAAATCCTAAACATTTGGGACTTACTGTACGTTTAATGGGTTAACCCACTGGGTTTGGATTAAAATTGCTATATTCGTTTCTTTTACTTCAAATAAATCCACCTAAAGTAGGTAGGTACCAAGAGTTCTAACATAAACATGGTCTAAGCCTATATATCAAAACCTGTTAAAGAACATAAATAATTGTGGTCTATTCAGTTAAAATTTTGGTCAGACCTTTCGAAACCACCAAAAATGAAAGATTTTCTAAAATCTCGCCATACGTTGAACATTTCTTATGTAATTATTTTTCTAAAATATCAAATTTCAGCCACTTTAGCGGGAAAATCGGACCAAGAACTAAAACACCCAAAAAACGGCCTCTGTCCCAACATGAACCTAAAGGGCCAAACTATTGCAAATTCGGTTAGAAATTGGCTATGGGCGCCTTGCCGTACCGAATAGGCCTTATCTGGCTAGAGGAAGACCCATTATAATCCAGAAGATCTCTTAATAGTCTTCCCTAATCAGATATTCAAGTCATCCTTCGAGGCATTTTCTGTCTAAAAAACCTCTTCTCTGGCCCAAAGACCTCGTACAAACCATCTCCGGCCAGGTGACCTTTTACATACTTTTTCCAACCAGAAGACCTCTTACAGGTCTTTTATAGCCAAAAGACCTCAAAAAATACCATTACAGGTATTATCCGGCCCGATGACCTCTTGCAGGAATTTTTGTTCAGAAGACCTTTTACAGGTTCGTTGCCAGAAGACCCCATACAGTTAACCTATATCCAGAAGACCTCGTCCAAGTATACTTTTACAGGCTTGTCTCAGCCTAAAAACCCGTGTACAGATTTTATCTAACCAAAAGACATCCTTCAGTAGGCAGGTTAAGTTCGTAAATGGGCCTTGTCGGTGCACGTTTTCGTATAGCCCCCATATAACGGTACCTCCCGATATTCGACATTCTAATGATTTTAGCAACATTATTCACCGGAATCGTTTCAAATTTCGTATGGAAGATCTTAATGGGTACTACAAGCTATGGCAATAGGTATAGTCCCGATATTCGTTATTTTCTCGTTATTTTCATGGTTTTTGCGACATTATTCACCGGAAGTGAAACAAATTTCGTATTTAAAGTTCGAAATGGGTACTACAGCTTGAGACGAAACATTTCGTAAGCATTTCCACGTCTTCGTATAGTCCCCATAAAAAGGTTTTAATTTAAGTAGTTTTCGGAATTTTGTTGAAATTTTTCAAGTTCCTCCTAAATGGTGGAGGGTATTAAAAGTTCGGCCTGGCTGAACTTTGCAGCTTTTTTTTAACTGTTCATACTTAATCTATTACAGATAAAAATATATTCTACTTGAGAGAAATAATTTGATATAGAACGTTGTAAAGAACCGCTGACTTGATAAAAGTATTGAAAACTGCGACCCTTTCTGGGTGAGGTCTTAGGTCTCACAGGTCTTCCGTTAGCAAAAATATTTGGATGTGTGAAATTTGAAGAGGGTTGGATGCTTATTTCGCTTTCTTAGATCGTTTTGTTACTCAAAATCTTGAGCCCTGTGTGGGGGAGGTACCAGAAGAAATGATCCTATCTCTACCATATTTATAATAAATCTTGTGTTGATGGAGACATTAAGATGTACTAAGTCTGAACGGAATCAGATGTTAATTTCGCATTTTATGAGCTAATACAAGATCTGCTGTGAAGATGGAATATATCGGTCTATTCTTTCTGGTAGCTCTCCCACAAAGGGTCAAAATTTAGAATATTCATCAAAATGTTGGCCCTCTTGTGGGGGAGGTACCGGAAGGAGTAGAAGATTTATTCCATCTTCACAGCTGATCTTGTATTAGTAGAAATAATGTGTGAAATATGAATAGAAACGGATACTGATTTCGGATTTCATAATCGTTTTGGTTATACAAAACTTTGACCCTTTGTGGGAGAGGTACCGGAAGGAATTTTCCGATCTTTATCATTTTTACAACAGATGTTGTGTTGATAGAAATATTGTGCCAGGTCTGAATGGAATCAGATCAGCTTCACGGATATTCAAAATGTTGACCCTTCGTGGAGGAGGTAATACAAAGAGTGGAACAACATATTCCATCTTCACACCTTCAGAACTTGATTTAATAAAAAAAATATTGTGATGTGTGTAATTTGAAGTTTTAACGGTACCAAAATAAGCTTTGAAAGTGGAATTGTTCTTTAGATACCAAAATAATACTTCTTATTCGGAACGCCTTTATACAGAATAAGGTTTTCGAATATTGTAGGGTTTCAGGAGAAAGGATTTAGGGTCTTCGAGGTTTTAGTGGGCTTTAAACTCCTGTTATACTTTATGCCTTTAAAAATAATCCTTTCAAATCCTCCTCCAGATCCCCAATCCTTTGATATTTACAAATCTCTTTTTTAAGATTTGAAAAACATTCGATTTGGTTTCCCCCTTTCCCCTCAATGAAATCATTACCATCTTTTTTTCGCAGATTTTTGTTTCTATGCCAAAAAGAAATGCTCGCTCATTTTAAAAATGGGTCTGAATCATAATCAACCAGGCTAACAGCAGAAGATGTTGAACTTCCTTTCTGTGTGACATAGTCGCAGTCATTCATCTATACATCCGTACCAAAAAAAAAATGAAAAAAAAAAACGAAAAACAAATACGCCAACAAAGATTTGTGGGCTAAAAAGTAAAAAAGAAGCAGAACAAAAAAATAACACACCAAAGAAGAATGAACAGAAAAACTAAGGAATAGAAGGAAGACAAAAAAACGTGAGGGTCCTTGGGTAAGGGGCATAAAGGACATGTGCTCACTGCTAGTTGTTGTTTTTGTTGTTGTTGGTTGGTGGATGAATGGTTGATTGGTTGAAGTTGTAACCAGTAACACCGCCATCACCACCACCACCACAGCCACGACCGCCACAACCGAAACTCATTCCGCCTCAACATTCATTTCGACAGCCGGTAATGCGCACTGTGACGCAGAAGAACAGCAACAACAACAACAACAACACAAAAAAAAAAAAAAAAAAAATCACAACAAAAGGAATCAAACGATTGTGAGGCTATTATAAAAATGTAACAATGTGTCTGTGTGTGTGTGTGTGTGACATCGATACAACCACGATTGCATTGCCAAAAAAAAAGGAAAACAGGACGACAAACAAAAATACACTTCCGCCGTCTGATAAGACAATTCGTTGCAGTTTTTGATATTTCACCAAAAATTGCACTTCCCTACACCCCCTTTCCCCTGAAAAAGGAAAAAAAGACTCTGGCCGGGGAGGTTTATGCTTACCTGTTTGGACCACAGTAGACCATGGTGTATTTGGCGTAGTTTCGCTCAATGAAACTCCTTGTTTTTTGTTGAGGGTTTTTAGGCTGCTGTAGATTTTTTTGGTTGATAAAATAGGAAGCAGATGTTGCCCCCACTTGCCTCGCTAGTAGCTAATGTTGTAAATTGTTGTCATTACGGAAACGGAAGTGTGGCTCCTTGACTTTTAGAGAAGACCAATACTCATTGATCCAGCATAGGCTTGGTTGTGGGTTTTTATCCTCCCTTTCGTCTCGTTGTTGTTGCTGCTGCTGCTGCCGCCGCTACTTTTGTGGTCCGGATTCTGTTCAATGTGCGTGGATTTGTGTTTTGAAGAAACGATATTTTGTGTTTTTTTTTATTGATTAATGTCTGGTTGGAGGAAAACTTAAAACAAAACTCAACTTCCTTTGGATTTTCACTTCACAACTTCACCAGAAAATTACTTTATTTTTCTTTCTTTTTTACTTTTCTTTCTTTATTTTTCCTCTCTTGTATTTTGTTGTTATACTTCTTTTTTGCTATGCTTTTTTTAATTCATTTAATTTTCATCAGAGATTTTTATGATATTTTTTTTTGAAATAATTTTCTCACTTCCAAAAAAGAGACGAAACCAATTTTTGTTTTTATTTTCTTTTCTTTTTTTCTATTTTGTATGGAATTTTCTTTTTTTTTGTGAACAGCGAAAAATTTCATTGAATTACTTCATTATGTTTCACTTCGACGTTTTCACTGCTGCTGCTTCTTCTTGTTTTACACTTTTTTTTTTGCCAACTTCCCCCCGGACGTTAAAGGCTCGCTGCTGGCTGGCAGTCAGTCCGCCTGGCAGACTGGAGTCGTGGGTATATCTACTGGCTTTTTTTGTTCCTTCCACCGTTCCGTGTGCTTGTTCTTCCTCTTCTTCTGCTGCTGCTGCTTCTTGCTCCTCGACTTTTTTCTTTTTTTTTGTTTTATACACGACAGCGACTTTGCCTACGACGACAGCGATTACATTTAACTTGGCATATGATTTTTTTATTGGATTTCTATTCTAGTTTGCCGGTTGATAATTTTCCCATTTTCTGAACACAACACACCGCGAATTTCAACAAAATTTCATTTTGCTACCGCAGAATTGCACTTTAATGAGACATTATTGGGATTTTTATTTAATCTAAACTAGTTTTTCTAGGCGATATTTGTAATTTTATTTCGTGATTTCGGGTTTTTCTTTTTTTGGTTGAAGTTACGTTCTTACGTCTACGTGCAGTCAAATGTATTGAGTTTCTCTGGCTCAGGTCGTTCTATTCACTGTTTCTCTCTCTCCCCCCTTAACTTGTTTCGCTTCACTTAGGGGTGGTTTATCGATTTCCTCTTTACTCATTTCGTGTGAGTAATACAACTTGAATATAGATGTCGCCTTATTCCACATATTGATATGGTAACGCTGTGAGGTAAATATTCTATTGGCAACTCGGTTATGTTAAACAGCTATTATTTTGGTATTTCAAAAAAATGATAAGAATAAGAAAAAAAAAAAAATAAAAAAAATATTCTAATGGCAATTTTCGAATTTGAAAACCAGATAAGAAAAAAACACTTCCAAAATAAAAGTTAAAAAAAGCGTTTTAGTCAGAGGCTTTACGATAATGTCTGTACGCGTTGCCAATCATATACAAATCGGTTATGTTAAACGGATATTATTTGAGAATACATGAAAGTGATAAGGAATAAGGAATAAGAAATTAGAATTAGTTTTAATGACAGTTTCCAAATTTAAACACCAGATAAAAAATAAATAAATTTCCAAAATACGGGTTAGAGTTAAAAACGTTTTATGCTAGGAACACAATTGGAGCGAACGACGAATTTTTTCGCGGCGTATGTTCGTCGTCAAAAATAAAACACATATGTGTATATGGAAGTGCACACAATCACGGCACCGGCGAAAATTTCGTCGGTCGCCGCGAACTCAATTAGCTTTATTTCTATTTCATACGCCGGCGACCGGCGAACAAAACAGTACAAGGTGGCCATACTTGTACGAATTTTATGTGTTTTAGTAAATAAAGTTACTTTTTACTTTAAAATTTGTTATGGTCACTCTACTATCTGTTACTCGTATAAAAAAAACATAATTAATTTGTTTATTTATTTGTGTACTTGCGCCTGAGTGAAGATGGATATCAGTGAATTTATAATAGAGAAGATGGACATAAGTGAAATTATAATAGAGAACGTAAAGAATTATGTGTTCTTGTATAATTCATTGTAGTTAACAAATGAGCAAAAAGTAAACAACTTCATCAGCTGTTTTATAATTTCGTCGGTATTGTGTTCCATACGACGAATTTTCGCGGCTCATTTTGTCGCCGCGTAGGGCGAAATTCGTCGTTCGCTCCAATTGTGTTCCTAGCATTAGTCGGAGAAGTTACGATAATGGTTGTGCGCGTTGCCAATAAAATTCACAAAATTATAACAGGGTGACACAGACTTTGCCAACTCACTTCTGATAACTTCGTTTTGTAACAGGCAAAAGGAAACGAGATAGACCCATAGTTCCTTTTGATGATCTGCATATAATCACATTCTGAGTCAATTTATGCATGTCCGTCCATCCGTCCGTCCGGCCATCCGTCTCTCCATGTATTTTTGTAAACAAAGTACATGTCGCATTTATTGTCCGATCCAAATGAAATTTTGCACAAATAATTTGTTTGACCCAAGGACGAACCTATTGAAATTAGGGATAATCGGCCAAAACATAGATATAGCTCTCATATGTATATATATACAAGATGAAACAAAAAAAAACTGCAACAAAATCAAACGCCATAATTTTTACATTTTTTTTTAATTTTATTGAATGAAAGCAAAAAATGTCGGAAATAGCATCAAATTTTTGGAATAAGTTTAGATTTGTTCGATTTGGTCACCTTTGGCACGAATTATGGCCTTTAAACGGCCAATGAAACAGTCATACACTGCCCGAATGTTGCTCTGCGGTGATCGACACTTTGGTATTTTTTAGTGCCAACCTTGCTTTCCAAAATACTTCAGACACAGTAGTCCAACGGATTGTGCGCTGGAAATGAAGCGAGGAACCTCATTTTGTAACCATTCTTGGGTGGCGCGTGCTGAGTGCGATGGTGCTGAGTCCCGTTGGAATGTCCAAGGTCTGTGGCCGAAATGTTTGAGTGCCCAAGGCCATAATTTTCGGCATTTATTCTTATGCAACGGTCGATTAATACGAGCGGAGAGCGACCATCGGATGTTATGGCGGCCCACACCATCACCATGGCCGGCGTTTGAGTTCTGCCCGCCAACCGAAGGTGCACATTTTCAGCTGACCTCTTTGCCAAATAAATGTGATCATTTTGTTTGTTTACAAACTGCTGGACAACGAATATTTTATCATCGGAGAAAACCATATTCGGCAGTTCACCACATTCGTTCAAGCGAAGCAACTCTTTACCTCTTTTGAGTCTATTTTTTTCTGTTGCGGTGTAAGTTCTTGCATTTTTTGGAATTTCGATGGCTTTACCCCGAGCTCATTTTTCAATATTTGCCGAATGGAATATTGCGATATGTTCAGCTCACGAGCCATTTTTCGTCCACTGCGACGCGGGTTTTCATCAAGTCGCTTCTTTACTTTTCGAACCATTTCTGCTGATGTTGCTATTTTCTTCCGTCCATCATCACAGTAACGAGCGATGGTATAAATAAATCACACTATCACGCTTGAATTCCATTACGAATAAATTTTTTCTCACCAAAATGCTTATGTAAGCTTGTAAACAATATAATGAGCTGTCACTGGAATCATTTTAGCAGCTGTCGGACGAGTGGCTTAGAAATAACAGCAGTCAGAAGTTGGTTGCAGTTTTTTCATCTCACTCTGTAAATTATATTAAAATCTTAAAAATAAAAATATAAGGAGTTACCGTTCTTTTGGGGTCTATACGAAGACGTGGACCTGCACAGACAATTTTCTGTCTTAGCCTGTAGTATTCATTACGAACCTAAAATACCAAATTTTAAACAATTCCGGTGAATAATGTCGCTAAAATCATCAAAAAGTCGAATATCGGCTGGTACCGTTATATGGGTGCTATACGAAGACGTGGACCTGCACAGACAATCTCCTGTCTTATGCTGTAGTATTCATTTCGAACTTCAAATACTAAATTTAAAACAAATCCGATGAATAATGTCGTTTAAAACACCCAAATACCGAAAATAGGGAGGTACCTTTATGTGGGCGCTATACCAAAACGTGGAACTACATGGCCCATTTTCAATACCAAAAGTCCTACAGACATAATATACATTTGAGTAAAATTTTATCAACCTACTTCAATTCGTTCGGAAGCTAGAGTGATTTCCACAGACGGACGGTCATCGTTAAATCGACATAGAATTTTATGTATATTTCGAGGTGTTACAAACGGAATGACGAACTTAACATACCCTCCATTCTATGGTGGAGGGTATAAAAATATACATATTATTTAAACGTCAGGAATTCGTAAATATTAATAATTCCCTCCTTTTCCACATTTTTATACCCTCCAGTTTGAATAGAGTTTTAGCCACACATTTCCACCAATTTGTCTAAAAATTGGTATTTGAAGTTCGTTATGGGTCTTAGCTCTTGTGACGTATAGGATACCTCCCCGTATTCGGTATTTTTATGGTTTTACCAACATTTTTCTAAAAATTCGTAATGGGCTCTAGCTCCGTTTGCAGGTAACGGTACCATCGGATATTCGGTATTTTGAGAACTTAAGCCACATTTTCTAATAGATTTGTGTGAAATTAAGTATTTGTATTTTATAATGGGTTCTACAATCGGCGTCAAAACATTGTCCATATTGGTCCTAGTCACATTTATTCACGAAATAATGTAAAATTTGGTATTTTATACTCGCAATAGATTACAATCGTTGTAGTATAAAATTGTCCATATAGGCTCCTATTTTAGTATGGCTCCCATATAACGACTCCAACCATTCCCCTACTGATCCTAATGAAGTTTGTAGTTTAAGGTGGAACACTTTTGAATCCAGATATTTTTTTCATATAATAGTTTTCTTTACCCAATGGTGGAGGGTATTAGAAGTTCGGCCTGGCCGAACTTAATGTCTTTTTACTTGTTATACCCTCAGCCATATTTCTAGAGTGGGTATATATCATTTGATACGGCCAAAACGTGACTCGTAGTAAATTCTGTCTTCAAGTTACACACATCACAATATTTTTACTAACCCAATGTCTGGTGTAAGGATGGTATCGGTATACTCCTTCTGATACGCCACCCACAAAGGGTCAAAAATTTTAATATCCATGCGGCTCATAAAACTCGAAATTAACACCCGATTCCATGCAGACTTGGCACATGTCAATATTTCCATCAACACGTACGTCCCCCCAAAGGGTTAAAGTTTTGAATCACCAAAATAATCATAAAAATCGAAAAAAGCATCCGGCTCTCTTTAAAATACACACATCACAATATTTTTATTAATTCAAAGTCTGGTGTGAAGATGGAATATATCGGTCCACTCCTTCTGATACACCACCCACAAAGGGTCAAAATTTGTAATATTCGATTCTATTCAGACTTGGTACACAAAATCTGTCATAAAGATGGTAGAGATCGGACCATTACTTCTGGTACCTTCCCCACATAGGGTTCAAGATTTTGAAAAAAAAAAAACGCCCAAAGAGAGCGAAATAAGCATCCAACTCTCTTCAAATTTCACATACCCAAATATTTTTGCTAACGCAAGATCCGTTGTAAAGATGGATTATATCGGTCAACTCCTTCTGGTACCTCTCCCGCAAGGGGTCACATCACATGGCATAAGAGTTATAATTATTCAAAATTTTAATCCTTTGTGGGGGAGGTACTTGATAGGGTGGGCCGATATTGTCCATTTTCGCAGCTGACCTTGCTCTGCTGCAAATATTAGGATTTGCATATTTGGAGCAAAGTCGGATTATCCTTTTCGCTTTCTGTGCAGTAAATTAGTTTCTTTGAAAATGTTGACATTTTGTGGGAGAGGTACCAGAAGTAGTGGATTGATATTGCCCATCTCCAAACCCGATCTAAGTTTGATAATAATATTACGATGTACCAAGTTTGGATCAAATCGGATACTCCCTTCGAGAGTTATCGATCGCACCAGCCAGACAGACGGACACACATCGCTAGATCGACTCCAAATGTCCTGAAACGGATTTGGTCCAAAAAGACCTGGAGTCTACCACCGTTATTTCAATGGTATATGCCCTCTGTAGCCATATGGCTGGGATATTTGGAACTTTTTCCCCTTTAATCAAATATTAACTTTTTTATACCCTCCGTCATACATAGTATGGAGGGTATATTAAGTTCG